ACACGTTATGGACTATTTATCTGCTATTTCTTTCTTTCATCAAAGCTGCTCCTGCATTACAAAAGCATAATAAAAATCTCCATACTGTTGAGGACTAGTAGACATTTTTTCTTCATTTGCATAAACAAGAAAACCCAAACAAACAGAAGCCCAAGACCATCCAACCCTGCCCCAAAAAATGGTTAAAAAGTTTGAAACTTAGTTCAAGATTTCTCTTAAAAAAAAAAACCCAAACCAAGACATCTTTCAGCCAAACAATACTGCTAAAGTAATGTGAGCGCTTTGCTTTAAAAATGTGCTTTTTGAGTTCACAGAGAGCAGCAGACAAAAAATAAGTCAGCCATGAAGCACGTTCTGATTTTTAACTATCCTTTGATGGATGGGTTGCTTCAAAAATTGCTTAACAAGGAAGGGGAGAAAGAAAGTTACAGGCCCACATTTTAAAGACTGTCAGCTGTATAGACCAAATGTTGCTAACTCACTGGCAGCTTTACAGGCCGCTTCTGTCATGATCTGAAACACATGATTCAATTAACGCAAGGTACATCTCTTTGTAGTAGTTGACAAGGTTGATAACAAGGTTAACAAGCGTTTCGCCATTTTCTTGCATGTTCCTTTTCTCTGGCAAAAACAGCTGTGATCACTCAGCAGGTCCTAAATAACCAAGTCACAGAAAACAAACAAAGAAACCATTTTATATTTCCATGTGACAAGAATGAACAAGTAACACGATTGGGGCAATCTCTTAAGAGAGCATTAGTGCCAAATTCACTATGCGTTACACTGGACGATCAAGTTACTTTAGGACTTCAACAACTCAGAACCTATTTGAAAGAGCTCAGCAAGCCAAGAAAGGCATGTGTGGAATCCAGACTGGGGGTGAGTCTGGCAAAGCCAACTGCTTTCCTCTAGCTGTGCCAAGCAAAGAGCTGAGGGTACTCAACACAAGGTCAATTATTTCATTATTTGCATACTACAGTTCAACTTGCATTGTCATGGATATGTTCTGTCCTTAGGAGGCAGTGACAGTTTGAATTTATTCTTAGGAAACCAAAACAGTTCATTTAACTGTTCAACATGCGAGATTTTCATGAGAGAATTAAATTTAGTTACATTTCCAACAGGATTCCAGAGCTACTTTTTTTTTTTTTTTTTTGCGTATTCAACCCTCAGAACTGAACTGAATATAAGGCTGAAAGGTTTAAAAGATAAAACAAAGTTAAAAGAAACCTGAAGACAACAATATAGCACCTGAAAATGGAAGAGTCACACAACACGTTTTTGACATTCATGTCTTGCATAGACAAATGCTTATTCATTTTTTTCCCCCAGACAACTCTGCTCCAGGAAATAAATCTTAAATCAACTTTAATTACAGTTAAATGCATGTGTTTCCATTTCTCAAAATACATTATTTTATTTCCTTGTTAACTGCTACAAGTCTAATAGTTTTAAGAAACTATCATCCCTTGGAAAGACTTTTGCACCCTTTTGGGCTGTCAATTTCATAAAGTCGGGAAGCTGAACTGCCTTCTAAATCTTTCTCCACATGATTAGAGAAACAAATTGATTTATGATTCACACATTAGATCTCTACACCAGAAGAAGGTCCATAAACCTGAAACTACTTTTACAGCATAAGAAACGGGACCTCTAGCCCTTCACAGCAGGTCTGTTTTCTGGCCATATTCTGACATGAAACAACATGTGGCACACACCAGGTCCACATGAAGTTCTTCCCTTCCAACCTCTTCACCCATGCACTGGTTTCCACTGGGAGAAAACTTCATCATGCAGAAGGTTGGAAGATTCTCCAAGAGGTTCCTAATCATGATCAGGGACCATTAGAGGGAAGCAATTCTTATATAGGCAAATGCAGCCCTTGTGGAGTTTCCCTGAGGTCAGCAGGACTCCAGTATGACTCAATACCCAGATCTAGGGAAGTCTCTGCAGAGCCAGAGCCATGCCTATTGATTCTGAATGTTTTCCAGTATGATGATTATTTGCTATATTTTTGGAACAGTCATTTGAAATATATACACTGACCAATTTGAATTCGCTTACCAAATGCAGTGCTTCTAAAGTTAAAGAGTAATGAGAAATCCAGAGGGACTTAGGCTGGAGAAGTGGGACCATGTGAATCTAATGAGGTTCAACAAGGCCAAGTGCAAAGTGGTGAACTAGATCTGGCGCAATCCCATGCGTTTTATACAAACTGGGCAAAAAACCCCTTGAAAGCAGCCCCATGGAGAAGGGCTTTGGGTCCTGGTAGACAAGAAGCTGGATGTGAGCCAGCAGTGTGCACTTGCAGCCTGGAAGGCCAACTGTGTTCTGGGCTGCATTAAAAAAGAGGTGGCCAGCAGGGAGAGGGAGGTGATTGTCCCCCTCTATTTGGCTCTTATGAGGCCCCATGTGGAGCACTGTGCCCGGGCCTGGGGGCCCCAGTACAGGAAGGATGCAGAGCTCTTGGAGCATGGCCAGAGGAGGGCCACTAAGATGACCAGAGGGCTGGAGCACCTCTCCTGTGGAGACAGGCTGAGGGAACTGGGCTTGTTTAGCTTAGAGAAGAGAAGGCCTTCCAGTATTTGAAGGGAGTGTATAAACAGGAAGGGGTACGACTGTTTACGCAGATGGACAGTGACAGGACAAGAGGGAATGGTTTTAAACTGAGACAGGGAAGGTTCTGGTTAGGTATTAGGGAGGAAGTTTTTCACACAGACACACTAGACCAGGTTGCCCAAGGATGCCCCTGGATGCATTCAAGGCCAGGCTGGATGTGGCTCTGGCAGCCTGGTCTGGTGGTTGGCAACCCTGCACATAGCAGGGTGGTTGAAACTAGATGATCTCTGTGATCCTTTTCAACCCAGGCCATTCTATGATTATGAAATCTGCTTGCTTATCACAGAAGTCTTGGGACAAGTGGTCTAAAACCTCTTGTTTTGTGTTAATGATCTGGATTAATTGGAAAAGATTTAAAGTTTCAATAGTCATGACTGCAGAAGAATAGCAGTGATTTAAAACAAAACAAAACAAAGTGAGCTCTTCTGTTGCATACAAACTGGAGACAGGGGATAATTATACACGAGCTTAATGTTAGGTTTCCTATAAAGACTCTGTAAGTAACTGTCTAATGTAAACATACACTTCTCCTGAATAGCGGTGCTTTGTTTAAACCAGCAATCTTACACATCAAAAAAGGAAGAACACAACTTCCCCCCCCCCAGATTGTAAAAAACAAAACAAAACAAAAACAACAACAAAACCACACACTTCTATGCAGCTCGTACCTACTACAGAATTCTCACCAAATTCAGAGTTCCAGTTCCATACATTCAGTAATATCTTTGATTATATTGGTAAACCTTTTTTTGTTCTAATTATTAACTGTTTCTAGTTTGACAACAGAACTATTTCGCATTCTCCCCTTCATAGGGGCTTCTGTCAGTTTCACTTTCTGGGTATTTATATAAAGAGAAGGTCACAGTACTCTTAAGAGAAAAACTGCAAGGAGTGAGGTGTGTGGGAGGAGGAAGGAATGGAGAAGCCAAGCTGGTAACATTTTCTTTCTGAAAAAATAAGCTTCCAGAAGTTTGCAAGCCTTGATGCCTATTTCCAACTGGGTTCAAAATGGCAGATAAGCTGTACGAATTCCAGCCAGCTGTACAGATACTAAATCATTTTAGTAGTCTTAAGGAAAAAAAGAGCTGATTTCTGCCTTAGTTCACCCTTTTCCTTTCACTGTTGGCTTAATCACTCCCTCCCAGGTCCACTGCTGTACTGTTCCCTTTCCTGCTTTGAAGCCAGTGGGGAAAGCTCTGCTGCTGGACCTGGAAGAGCAACAACTTGTCATGGAGGGGAAGGAGACAGTGAGAAATGGTTTGTTCTTCTAGCACAAATTTCCTTCTAGGCCAATTTGGAAGAACAGATTTTTACCATGGCCCTGTACGCACTGAGAAGTTATTATTCATCTGCCTACGTGCTACAAGTACAAAGATTAGAGCCATTATTAAATATGAACAAGGGTGGCTGAATAATCCCCTCACAGAAAACACAAGCATAGCCTGTTACATAAAGGGAAGTGCTTCTGGAGTTAAAACAAAGACGACTAAGAACAACAGAACGTGTCTCCCGGTTCTAGTTATCTCTGGCATCCTTTATAGGAGCAGTAGGTTGAACATTTCCAGAGGAGCATGATTTGTACATGATAGCAGTCTTGTAAAATATTTTGGGGTTCAAATGGGTTTGACAATAGCCAGTCATGCTATCTTTCGTCAGCCATTTGCTATGCCCTTTAACAAATGCGGTGCACGAGCAGCAAAGCGGAAAACTTAAGAAAACCAAAATTGTTTAGAAGATACCACTCCAGCTGCAGCAGATCATTACAGGATTTGAACTCAGAAACAAAATCCTCAGCCAGGAATAAATGAAAGCTATTGCAGAAACATCACTAGTGTTGAGTGAGTCCCAACATCAGTTTTTCAAAATAGCTACCAATCACTTAAAACTAGTATTATTGTACATGTATTTGTACCAGTGATCCTGGCATTTCTGAGTTTTTTTCATACCAATTTAAACTAGCCTTGTAATGCAGTCTTTGAAGACCTACTTCCAAGCATTTAAGCATATAAAAAAGTACATGCTTTAATCCCACAGAAATCAATGGGACCTAAAGCACATGCCTGAGTATTTTGGAAAGCAGAAATAAAGTTCTCAATTAAACATTTGCAGAGAGTTCTGCTCAAACATGATGATTGAAGATTCTGCAAGCTAACATCCTTTTCCCTGTCATGTTAGAAATGCAACTAGATTTGGTTTTAATGAGATTTCTGGTTTTGATCCAACCCAACATAGGGACAAAGGGACAGAGTTAACGTGACTCTTGGAGTCTGCTATTCGAAATACAAAGTTCCAAAAGTAAGTGTTCATGGATAAATAGAGACCCCAAAATTTGGAGGGGGAAGAGAGGGACAGGGTGAAATTAATTGTTACCACAAAACATATTTTTCATTGCTAGTTCTTCGTTTTTAAATGACATACAAGGATCTTCTACTCTAATAAAGCCTGCTGTGTACTCCGGTGGTGACCTTCAGATTTGAGGAAGTTTTATATAAACCCATAAATTATTTTGTTTTGTAGTGGGGAAAAATATTTTCAATGCAATGGAGTGATAGCAAAATTCATAATGATACAATACACAACTTTTAACTTTTCAGAATCGGATCTACAAACTATAAACTCTTAAATTTCTTCAGTAAATGGAAATGTTGTGGGTATTTGAATTTACTTACCTGAATAGTCATTTAGCAAATACCTTTAGATGCAAGTCTAGATGCAGAGTTAATGCAATTTGAATATTACACATAATATAAATCAACATTTGACAATATCAAAACCCCATCAAACAGTGGGCCCTTCTTATGCTATTATCAAATATACGTTTACTCTATCACTGTAGGATAGCTGAGAATCATAGAGTGCTAGCGTAGGCTTGTTTATTAAATTCGGTCAGTTTTCAGACCTTCCAAATAGGAATACTAAACATTTATTTTTCCCCTCTGGAAATTTTTTTTTTTTTTTTTTTAAACTCCTGCATAATACAGTTGTCATCCCAATTCCTCATGAATTTATAAAAATATTTTTTTATCCAATAATCCCGGTAAGGTAAAAATAGGAGTTCTTATAGCAAATGATAAACAGGCTCATGGACTATGAGAGAAACTAAACTTATTGAAGTTGCCATACATTCGCTACTGAATCACACATCACCTTTTTCTTTGTGTGTGTTGCTGTCCACCTCAGACTAGCAGTTTTTAAGGTGCAGAAGCATCTTTCAAATATACGCAAACTTAACGATCAAGTTCCTCACATGCCTTAAATTTACATCACCTGCCCATCAAGAGCTGTGTTAAATAACAGCACTAATTGAAACTGCATAATTCTTTAGAAATGGCAGCACTTCCAATTCAGAGAATAAAGGGGTGCTTACGTGGTTCTTTATATTACTAGATAAAATTTTCTGAAATAAGAAAAATGAAATGAAAAAAAAAACACATTTGAAAGAAGTTGCTGCACCTGCAAAAACACTCTTTAAGCTTACTATGAAATACAAAAAAGTGCACCCTTCTATATCTACATATAAAACATATTAGAAATAAAACTTGTGTAAAATGTTTGCTGTGCAAACTATAAAAACAGTCAGTCAGTCCATTCTTTTTTCCTAAACATTGTGTCACACTCTCATGCTTCCTACTGCAGAGAATCGCTGTTATCCAAAACCAGCCCACTGATATTTGTCGTTGAGAGATCTCCTCCATCGTCTTCACCGCTGTCTACAGACTCATCCTCACTTTGCCCCGCCATCATAACTTGCTGAACAGCCAATGTAGCACCATCAGATGACAAGGACTGGAGACTGTCTACATTCATGTTTACCGGAGCTGTAATTGTTACAACAGCACCTGGAGAAGCACAATCATAGAATTTTAGCTTCTTTCTTGGTTTCTCAGGTTAAGCAAGATATTTGTATATAGTAGAGTTTGTGATCAACAGGAAGAAAATCTAAGGAACTAAATTAAAAGCTAAATAACTTGTCAGACACTTAAATGTTAGGAAATGCTGGAATCACATTGGTCTAGAATCTTAAACTCATGTGTGTTCTGGATACTCATTAAAGAAATCTCCAATCAAGTCATCACAAGATCATTTCTGCAAAGTACTCCAGCTTAATCCATTGCAGAAAAATCGGAGCGTTCACAGAGAAAACGTGACTTAAGTTGATAAAGTTGTTGTCAAACCCAACAGAAGCTGAGGAAAAAAAGTTGCTAAAACATTGCAATGAATAAAGCAGCAGGCTGCAGGAATGCACGGATTGTCCTGAGATTAAAACAGATTCAATTTTAAAAAAGTGAAGTATTATTGGATCTGATGCTATGGAAGTTACCGCAGTCAAATTTTTGGAGATTATTCTCTTTTTCACAATGAGAAATTTGAAACACCTGAAGCATATATAAAAGTGCAAATGCTTAACCCCTCTAGCAATGGTGAAAGGGATGTGAACAGGATGGGGAGTTGTGAAGCTGAAAGGACAGTCCAGTACTTCTAATCAAACAGAATGCAGCTGGTGCGTATACACATACTGAGAACTTATTTGCACGTCTAACCTTCCTCCTACTGTTTCATAACTTCTGAAATAAAAGCAACAGTCTCACTGCATCTATTCCAATAAAATATTCCTCCCAAAAAAGAAACTGAAGATGAAAAAAATGACATTTTCGTTACGTTTTTCCAAATTAAGAAGAGTCATGCTGAAATATCAAGGAGTTTTTTCCACGAGATGTATCAAACTCTCCATTTCTGTTATAGAGGAATCAACTTCCCTTTCTGTGTTCTAACTAGTTCTCCTTACCATCTGACATCGTGAGCTCATTAGATTGCTGCTGAGCAACTCCTGATGCAATGGAGTCAGGCCAGAACCTCTGAACTGGTCTGTTCTGAGCTGTTTTCTTCTTTGTTTTTGGAGTTTCAGAACAACTGGAATCCAGCATTGGCTGAAGAATTCGTCTTCTAGCATTGATAAACCTGAACACAATCAATGGTAAGTACTTATGAGCTGAAGGTGGTTAATAGTCTCTTGCATCCACAAAGTATGCAGTAGGAAAAAAAAACAACAGAAGTATAAAAGCTGCAAAGCATCACTTCTCCCTTCTTTTTAGCATGTAAAACTGACATTCTTTTTAGCATGTAAAACTAGAACTCCTAGAATACTGACATCCTTCAATATTAGCAAACTAGCTAAGCAAGTACTCCTCTCATTTTTCTGCTAACAGTGTTCCCCCCCCAAAAAAAAATTACTGACAGAAATTCTCCAGACAGCATGACAAATGTACATTTCAAGATCTTATTATAAGCTAAGCACCAGAAAAGTTGTTGACAGTACCATTCAGAAAGCTGACACTCCTCTTATAAGGGCTCACCTAAATTTTATCCCTGTCTAACCTAGTTTGTTCAATCTGGTTTCATTTACTCCATTAAGCTCCTGCCTGCTTTAATTATTTGAAAGGCTCACAGGTTTTTCCAGGCCTGGTTCCTGATCCAGGAAACAATGCTAAATACATTTTTCAGAAGGAAGTAGAGTGGAACTTTCAGATTCACACAGCATAATGCAATGCCTTGTAGAAACATCAGCCAAATCTCAGTACCACAGAGTTCTGTTACTGCCACACAATGAGAACAGTTATACTGACACACTTATGGAGCCATTGCACTGCCACTATCTTGTGTATTTCCCCACTGAACCCGTGTGCAGTCATGCAGCCAGCACCATTTTGAAATGTGAGGAAGATCACTACAGTGATTTTAGGAACACAATACCATGAGTAGAATAGGATGCATGCTGGCACCCTCATTCCTCTTCTGCAAGACCAGGCTTATCACCTTAAACCTGTAGCACTCTTAAGACATACTACATACTGAGCTGTAAACTGTAGTGATTGAGATACTGACACCTTCCATTTGGACACCATTGTTTAGCGACTGTGTCATTTGGTAGAAGAGCAGAATGAAGATCTGTTGACAGTAACAAACTGTAAAATATGCAGCCATAATCACATTGGGAACACTTTTCAGAGCCTCAGGTCACTACATCCCTTGAATCTTGATTTATATATATAGTTTTTAATATAATCATCTTGCAGAAGAGATGCGAGTACTTCCATCTCTCCCAGCAGTAGAAGACAGTTTAATTCCTATGGCTGCAAAGTTTTCTGAAGTCTTTATATAATTAGAGTGGCAGAAGGATATAAATAATATACTTGTGTATCAGCACATAATTCTATTCCTTAAACATGTAGTGTACAACAGTAAGCTCAACTCCACATACCCAAGCCATACTCTTAATTACTTCTCAATCTTGCAAGCACGCAGAGACAAAAACAGATCATGGAAGAGTTTTCAGTCTTACCAATTGTTAACCTGGAGTAGTGTAAGATTTGTTTGTGCTGCAATCTGTTTCTTCTCATCCTCTGTTGGATATGGATGCTAAATAAGAGAAAAAAGCAAGTAAGAAAGACATAAGCTTGTTTCATTTTCTCATCAAAAATAAGGACTCCTTTATTACAAGTTATTAAAGATGCTAGACTAAGGTCATCTAACTCGTAATGAACAAATTTAAGAAACCCCACAAACTTTTATAGATAAAAATCATTTAATAAGAACTATGTTACTATGCAAAACTGGTCTTATCCTTGAAAATATGCATTGTATCATTGAACTGTTGATGTTTAATTCAGCAAAAGATTCTCATGGCTGACAATCTTTATTAAACAGCGTGATCTCTGGGCAACAAGCATGTGATAAGATCTGATTAGTTATGCTTTCTAAAGGCACTGTCATATGAGAGTACTGACAAGCCTTTTCTAGTTAAAATAAGCTACTCTGAACTAAACGGAGGAAAAGAGTGAAAAAGTGCTGAAGAAGTGCACACATGCTTTCCCAGCATCATTTGTCTGTTTCAAAATAGCTGCTAAATGACTGAAAATACCAATATACTAAACACTACAATATTCTTCAAGAATAAATATTTATGCAAAGGCAGGACTTGTACTGTAGGCAAGAGTAGGTAGTAACAAACTTGGTATGCATTGGAAATATTGTGAAAAGGGGAAAAGACAGAAAGCTTGAAATTCCTCTAAAACAGAAACTACCAAAAATCCCCTCACAAAACTCACAGCCACAAATAGAACTATTTCTTTGTGTGCCATAGAGCAAGGCTGAGAAAGCACTACATTTTCAACACAATGAAATGAAGAAGGATCCCTTTTAACAACGGTAATTGAGCTCGTGGGGTACAAATTCAACACGATTATTAAAATAATGACATCAACAGACATTAGGTTCTGTGGAAGTGCTCCAAACAACTTCAGAGAAAACTGAACTGGGATTACACAAACAGTAAGTTCATCTTCCCTATGAAACAAAATTATAAGAGACCACAGAGTTACATAAAAATCTTTTGACTCCTGATCACGTTCATTCCTTACCCCTATGTGCTGAAATAGCCAAGATCTCATCACATTTGTAGCGTGCTTGGGAAGAACTCCTCTTTTATTTTTTGATGAGCCATCATCTTGATGCAAGATGCCTAGATCTTGGTTTAATTGCAACTGAAGCTGTGTGTACAATTTTAAAATAAGAAAGTTAGCATAATAATAGCAATATTTTGCATTAATATAAGTTATTTGGAGAAGGACTGAAAAGCGATTAGGAACTCCGATTCTAAAAAGCTACTTTATTTGCTAGGGAAGACTTACAATAGCAGCTCACCTACAATAGCATTCCAAAAGATCTTTATTCACGGAAAACGAGGTATCAGATTTCCAGATAATGCAAAAATCATAGTTGCAATTCTTAAAACAGAAATGTTCTGTTTTCAGGGTGTGTGATCTTGTCACAAGAGCCAAATGGTGATTTGCTGTAATTTAGAATAAAATCCCTCCATGTACTAAACGACAGGTTAATGATCTTCTGTACTGATCCATGCAACATTAGGGTTTTGACTGACTTTTCACCCTACCAACTCACTTGCACAAGTGAAGAGCAACTGAAAAACGCCATGCTGAATAAATTCACTATGTGCAAGCACAAACAACTATGGAAGCTGTAAAATAGTAAAGATTTAGGTCTTAAGCAAAGAATTTAATTATAAACACTAGAGTTGCAAACCATGGTAATTAAGGTCCTGCTAAATAAATTCATCTAAATTTTCAAGAATAGGAAGATATATGCAGAAGACTAGTAAGGGAAAAAGGCTCTGGCTACTGTCAAATTCTGAATTCACTTTAAGACACTGTTTTCCTAAAATTCCAAATTTCTTTCACAGCTTTGCTTTCTTTTTCATTTCTAGAGCTACATCAGGTTGTTTGCACAATGGTTATCTGAACATCGGGGGATACATTCTTAAGTGCTTAGACAGAGATAATAAGGAACAGAATATAAATTGCATATGAGATTGTGTTTCAGAAAATTATAACTTATTCCAAATCAGGTTTTTCAAACAGTAGGAAGCAGTTTCTTCAGGCCAGTCATTATGTCTACGTCTGGAATGAAACAAGCTTTAAATATCATTTCTGAACTAGGTTCAACTCATCAAATTACAGCAAACACATATTTTTAGCATTCTTTTATTTGCAAAACAACATTTCACTTTCTAAGTGATCTGTCTGCATATGGAGGCTTCATAACGAAATTTCAATAGTTATCCACCAGTTTTTCTTTTCTACATACACAGCACTGTGAAACACTGAGCATTTCAAGTGGTATTTCCTATAATTGAGATACAGGCCCAAACCTATCCCATTTTGCAAATTTTATGGCAAAATGCTCTTCAAAGTACATAAATTCTGGAATACATACAATTTCACAGTGTTGGTGGTTGCCATCTTAAGACAACAAGTTCCTGACAACAGCTTAGCATTATACAGCAACATTCAAATCTATCCTGCCATAAACCCAGTTCAACAATTAGGAAAGTTATAATCCTTGTAAAATCACCTGGTATTTAGTTTAGAAGGCTTTTTGTTTAGCTGCTTTTGTTTAATCCACATATAAATACTTTTTTCTTTCTTCACTGATGAGAGAAAAGGGGAAAAATACATAATATTTAACAAGTATGAAGTATGATGTCCAACGCGGCAAGGCAGATCTGCTTGGGATATCATGCCCTATTATAAAATCTGTAAATCTCATAATGTATCACATTCAAACCCAAACTGTTGAAAACAAAGATTCATTTGAACCCAGGAAACTATTTTGTGAAGCTCATGAAACACACCTGAGAATTCTGGATTCGAATAGTCCCAGGTGACAATGCTTGCGTCACCACTTGGCCTTGTGGAGTGACCACAGTAACAGGCTGATACACTGTCCCTCCTTAAAAAGCAAAACATTTTGGTAAGTAGAAGCCCCTAAATATTCTCTTTAAACACAGAAATGCATCATCACTGTAGACAATAACACAGTTCTGACAACATATCATTTATTTTAACACACCACAATCTATTCCAGCTGTCATATAAGATGCATGATGCAAAAGCCATCAGCTGAGTGGCACCTACATATATAGGTCAACTAAGCGTTCAAATGCTACCTCCATACAAAATTAACACAACTACTTGGAGCTGAAAGATTTCACAGACTCCTAGGGATAGTTCTAGACTTTGCAGAACATGACATGTTTACTAAATGCAAAAACATTCCAATCTCTTAAGACTTAGCTAAAGATCAGTTAATACTGTACTTAAACTGTAACCTCCGCTCACATACACATACCTGGTATACACAGAAAATAAATTGATATTGAGAAACCATAAAGACACTCGTATTAAACCAACAACTTTTCAGGTCTTAAAATCTAAACACATGAAGAAATATTTGTGTATTTTTTGTAACAACTACAAAAGGACCCATAATGAATAGCAAGGTGCCAGTTTTTCTTTAGTTGTCATACCTGCTACTGTTGCCATAGTTACATTTCCCTGCTGCAATGCTGATGCTGGCACCATAATCCCTTGGGGACTGAGCGTGCCTGCAATGGCACTTGGCATTTGCTAGAAAAATAAAACAATTAGTTGGTTGAACTTCTTTTTTTCCCCAAGGAGATAAAGCAGCTTGTGTCATTTTGGCTCTAAAAATACATTTGGAGCTTAAACACAGGATTAGCTTCAAAGGGAGAGACTTCATTAGAAGTTCATCATTTACCTACATTAACTTTCTCATTATCACCCATCATTATCTTCGAAAACCTTCATGAAAGCAACTGTTAGAAAAGACATTAAACTATCTGCAGTAATTATAGGAGAGAAATGATTCTAGGTATACAAGTACTAAGAAAAAAAGTTTCCAAAGGCACAAGGGATAAAGGACACATGAAACGGATCCTTGATGCCCTTATTACAAGCTTCAGAATTTTAGTTATTATCTTAATTCCTTCCCATTTCAAAATAATATATTATGCATCCAAGATATCTAATATGTTTGTTCTGCTTAGGATAGTTCTTATTCAGTCCTGACCTTGCAAACCCTTATTCATACATCTTCAGGAATTTATAATTTCTGTTATTACCAAACATAAAATTCAGTCCCTCCTGTGTCAACAGAAGTAAGGCTCTAAGAGCCATACAGAAATAATCCTTGGAAGGCTTTTTTTTTTTTTTTTTTTTCAATTTGATTTCAGACTCTCCTTTCCACACTTCCACATAAAGCCTAAGTAAGACAGTGAACTTTAGGAATCACTGGGGCTTTTTAAAAACAGATAGCATCAGACACATTCATAAATCTGAGAAGGACCATCCCCTACGACACAGACTTAGTTGTATTTGAAACATACCTGAGATTGCACGGGTGAATAAGGACTTCCAGGTTCTCCACTTAATAGAGTTTCACTGTTCATTTTCGTCTTCAGGCAGGCAATGTAGCGACTACAGAAGTCCTTGCAAAGCTCATTAACCTTTTCTAGCTCAAGCAGATGAATACGAAGAACTTGGATTGCTTTTACCATCTAGGGAGTGAAGGGAGGGAGGAAAAAAATTGAAAGTAACTTAATTTTAAAAAAATATTTCACTGTGAAATTTAAATAAATGCTACTTTCCAGGAAGAAAGACCATCCAATTAACGGGGAGCTAACTGCTGAATGCTGAGCTAGGCTTGTCAAGCTCTAATCATTACGCTCCTGAAATGGCAAAGGAATGTGTTTACATACAAATCTGTATCATCACACTGCTTAAGTAAACTGTGATGTAGAGGAGAAAGAAAATGTGACTACAATATAATCTTTGCCTCTATCACACGTCAGATTAGACCTCCTAACCAGACTCCGCCTTCCTAGAAGTCTGTCATCAAGCTTTGCTGAGCAAGAAGTAATAAAATAGTTTTACTGTCCTACAGCTTTGAAGTACCTGTACATTTCTATGTCAAATACAAACAACTCTGGGATAGAATCTCCTGAGTAAACAGACTGTTTCTGAAATAGAATGAGAGAGCACTGAAACCAACTGACAAATCCATGCTTATACAAAAATTAAATAAGTACAGTAGATATGTATGCTGCGAGAATACTTCTGCTTACTGCAAGAAAAAGATTCCGAAGTTTGGGTAGCTAGTGGTATTTCATACAGCATAAAAATAGTATAGGTGATTGCAAGGGTCATGGCAGGAGATCAAAAGCTAAAATCAAATCCAGATGGTCTAAATTTTGATGATGCAGTAGGAAATCCGGGACATTCAATTACGCACGGAACTTATTGGCAAAAAAACCTCTTTCTTTTTTTAAATATAGTGCGCCATCCCCAACATTTACTTGCTGTGCTAGAGCTCAAAGAAAAATATCCTTCCATTTTATGAATTTAAATAGATTGCAGTTTCAAAACGTAATGCAAAGTTTGATTTTAACATTATTTGGAAAAACATGTCATACATAAATGGTCACATACCCAGCTACAGCACTGAAGGCAGTAACCAGAAACAACCGTCCACCAAGTTGTCCTCTTATTTCTAAGTGAAGAAGCCAGCCAGGAGCTGAAGTAGCCTTATTAGTAGGAGATCAAGATAGGCACTTTTGGGTATGCTTCCCTCTCCCTCACAATGACTTCAGCTTTCATTATAACAGATATTTTTCCTGTGTTTTTTTTAAGTAGAAGATATTCCTGTTGTTTGACATTCACCCAACTGAGAAAATGGTATGTTAAAATAAACACAGGAACACTGAAACGATAACAAAGTAGGAAATCTTATCTCTACTAATGGCTATAAATAAAAAAAAAAAAGAAATGCAACTTTAAATCACAGCTGCAGAAAAAAAAAATCTGAGCTGTAGACTTGAAGCAATTAATTCAAATTAAAATCTGGTAACTCTGACCTTTGACACGAAAACCCTTTGAAATCCTAAATGCAGGGCCCAGCACTGAGGTATACAAAACAGCATCTTCTAGAGCAGCCCTCAATGGTGGTGGCCTTTGAAACTGCATTTAAGTACCTTGAAACACAGTCAAGTTGAATGATGCAAGTTTAACTACATTTTAACACAAAACAGAGGTCATCTTTGCTTGAATATAGTCCGCTCCCTTTAGAATTGCTAATGATTGCCCTGTAGTGCTTCGATAACCAAACTGTTTCAGAGACCAAAAACCTAAATTATAAAATCACTTACACGTTGTGGAACAACACAGATCACATATATTAGCCATACACAGATTTTGTTTTTTACCTCTCTCATCCTCCCTTTGCCAGGCTGAAACCAAGGTAAACAAAAATATGACTTTGAGCACATAACATCTGAGTGTATTCATGATGAATTACTTTTGCTTTTAAGAAGCTTTTGTTGTGTTTTTTGTTTGTTTGTTTTTTTCTCCTTAAATCATCACCCAAATTTATATTATTTAAATATCAGCATTTGCTTACAGGAAAACAAAACAAAACAGCATCTATGAAAATCAGAGTTGGTATTCAAGTTAATGGTTGGTATCTAACGTGAAAATTACACTAATATCAAAACTAAGCATAAACCAAGGATTACGTAACAACAGCCAGATTTCTATAGATCCTCCCACAGTCAATGCTACTTTTACAGGAAGCTGTGCTATCGTGGTTATAAAGGCAAATAAAATTTGTAAATATACCACGTGTGTCACAGCAACTGTGGCCATATGGCTCACTGTGGCCCACAGCATGGGTAGACCAAGTGAAATTTGTTGACTGAAGCTCATATGATCCTTGAAACTAAAACAAAAATTAGCAAATAAGTAGCAATATTGAACACCCCTCTTTTTTTTATTTTTTAGAATCATAGCTTAAAAGTCTACAAAAAACATGTCTTTGTTATTTAGTCCTAGTGAACAAAATTCTCCCACACAGCTACACAATTTCATAAACCACATGATTCAGCCTTCTCAGCTCTAAGAAATAAACCTGGAGCATCACTTCAGAGACATGTAGAAAGACGTAAGTAACCATTAGACATATGGATGTTGCTAGTATTACTGTACATAAATAAAAGTAAACTATGTTCACATATAAATATACTCCATCTGGAAATGTCTTTAGCCCTAAAATGCTTTGAATCATGCCTTTGTACAGTGCTCAAAGCACTGAAAAGATAGGACAAAGGGGAACAGAATATACTATGCAGCATGCTAGCCATAATCCCCAGCTCACCTCTGTTCAGTTAAGATGCACACCCATGACATTTTATGGACTTCAAGGGACATAGCACAGCCACGTAGAAAAAATGTAAGTGGACAACACATCTTAAGAATTCTGGTATGATGATAAGTAATCTTCTCATTTCAAAAGCAACTTCAATACATCCATTCACTGTTCATCTACCTCCCTGAGCAAATTCCCACATGGGGCCTTAGGTCTTCAGGGGAGGAACACAAAGTCTGACAGAAGGGACATTCAGTCTTCACTTCTTTTGTTTTGATAACCTCTCTTGCCTACTGAATCCACAGCTGTGAGATCAGAGGTCTGAGAAAAGTTGCAGATGTAGGAACGCTTTTTAGAAATTAAAAAAATGTGGCTTGAGCACACAGAAAATATAGAGAATATCAAAATGGCATCCCCTAGCTTCATCATCACTACAGATTTTCCTGACAGAACTAAGAATTCAACAGGATAGTCTTTCAGAAGAGGCTACTGAACCAAAAATCCTTACCCCAAACGAAACAAAAATTCAAGGGTCTTCAAAAAGGGCAGTGTCCTGTTCAAATACAAAAGTGAGAGCACATATAAGACACCAGATTTCATATTCTTTCTAGGCTTGATAAAGCTCTATTTAACCTGCTCTGACCTCACAGCTGTACCTACTTCGTGCAGGAGGTTGCACTACTGACCTGAGTTCTTGAGACTGTAATCAAATATGAATCATCTATTGGTCCTATGAATGTGGGGAAATGAAAAAAAATAAGCAACAAAATGAACAAAATACTCATATATGGCAAGAGTTAACTCCTAACAGAAGCTATACAAGAAATAGGAACCCTCCAGAAGCAACTTGATGTTTCTGTCGTGGCTGGATTAACAGTAAGTAACAAAAAAAGCATTAAATTCTAAACATCTTAAAGCGTAATTTAGAAAACTCTAGAAATGATCTGTAAACATTCATGCTGAACAACCCACCCATGTAAGTTACAAGAACAAAAGAAAGCTAAAGGAAAACAAAGGGAAGATGGCTCAACTGTTCTGTTAGCAAATTCAAGCTTTATTTCAACTGTGAGAATTAGATGGAGATATCCAAGTGTAAGGAGTTTCAAAGATGATACTCAATGTTATGAGCAGTGTTGAGCACGCTTCTAGAAAGGAGAGGGTCCAATCAGGAACATCTGGCTAGTAATACAGACCAACAAGATCTGTGATTCTTAAGAGTAAACATCTCTTTGGGTGCTGAGTCTGACTAGGGTGTAGATAAAATAACGATCCAAAGATGAGGAGGGAGTCAAAGCTCTCAGAAAGAAAGCAGGCTCCAGACTAGCAAGTTAAATATAAGAACCATCTTCTTCTACTTCCTTCCCACCATGAATAGTATGGGAGAAGGGGAGGACTGCTATACTTCTTGCAGCTAATTGGCACTTAAATCAAGTTCAGAAAAGACTGCTAAAGAAACAGACAGAATGAGTGACCAAGAATCAGGAAGAAGAACAAAACTATTGAAAACCTGAAGATTGATGTAGAATATATTTCAAGACGGAGCACAATTCTGGCTTCAACAGCATGCTGCATCACACATATATACAGAAGAAATATCTAGCGCACAAATTCATAACCTCGTACTTCTCCCTTCTACCTCCATAAATAGTCTAACCTGTGTAAAGCTAAAAAACAGATCCCTTCCAACTTCAAGTTCTACTTGAGGACAATAGTTCTGAGAGAGCAATTACACTAATTACCAAAGAGCCACTTTCCCTATGTTTTCAATAGAGATGAGGGAAATAGAAACTTTCCCAGGAGCTTCTATATATTTGGTTTCACAGAGTGCAGAGGATTAGCTGGTTGTTTCAGTACAGCCTATAGCAGCCAAAATCCAACCATAAGTCAGGTTGGAAATAGAAACTCTCCCAGGAATTTCAGTCCAAAGACAACTACCTTTTCTGACTGGAAGATGAAGCCACGTTAAAAGTAATGACATAATGTCAAGACATCCTACATCCAAGGACAAGCTGAAAAAACCTGTCCAGAAGCTGACACTGAAGCTCATAGAGTTTCTTTCAACAGATCTTAGAACTAAACTTTGCATTCTCCTGTGATATGCTCTTCCTTGGAAGAAAGAAAGGCATCTCATACACCTCTCAGACAAAGGAAGAGACAACTGACATTTCAAAATTCAGGGAAGATACAGTACAGCTTGCGGGTTTATTTCTTAGTGATGTGGCTTTTGAACACACACTTGCTGACTGTTACATGACGCACATACAGAAAAAGATTAGGAACATTGCAATAGCTATACAAACTCAAACTCAAGTTTGCTTAATCCAGGTCATTTCACAAAGTACCTCAAAAATTCATTTA